CAGCAACTAGAAATCAGCCGTCAACAAACCAGGGAAAATTATAGGAGAGCAGTAAATGGGTATAGGGAGGACATTGTTGAACGAAAGTGTTTATCACCGACGAGTCAGAACAGAATTGGCGCAGTCTTCTGATCTGAAAAGAGAGACTTCTCAACTTGCGAGCAATACTTCGGATATGTAAGGACCAGCAAAGGTTACTTTCATGTGTGACACCGAAGTACTTCATACGGTTGACCCTGCTTATCGGCTTTTATTAGTCTGTAAGTTGTTTGAAGGAGATGGGGTACGGTTTAGAGTGAAAATATATTCAAGGCATTTTTCAAGATTAAGATTAAGAACGGAAGAGGTGGATACGAGGGATAGGTTTGTGTTATATTCAGCCAGTTCTGATTGGTTAGATATGGAAACAGAAATGGCAATATCATCAACATACTTAAAATGTAGAACAGGAGGAGTAACAGGTAAGTCACTAATTAAGGTCGAAAAAAGATAAGGTGATAGGACAGCACCTTGAAGTACACCCGAGCTNAAGCCGGAAAGCCAAAAGATAGAAGCTTGTTAAGTAAAAGACAGCGGGGCACCGAGTTGAAAGCGGAGGAGTAGTCAAGAAATGCACAATGCACATATTTAGCTTTCTCTTTAAGGGACTTACAGATGAAATGAACTAGAGAAGAAACAGTATCTAATGTAGAGCGGTTATGTTTGTATGCAAACTGATAAGTGTCATCGGGGGTGGTAAGAGATAACTGAAGACGATGCAGAACTGATCGCTCCATCAATTTCAAAACAGTGGAAGTGAGAGCAATTGGTCTAAAACGCTTCGCTAATGGAACCTTTGACGTTCCTTTTGAGATGGGAGTAATTCTCACTGGGCGCCAGCAGTCTGGAATAGTTTGGAGTTCGAGTGAAACATTAGCTGTGTGCGAAAATCTGTGGCAGTGGCTGAGCACCGTGTTTAAGAAGGGTGGGACATAAGTCTTCTGGACCAGGTGCGGTGGACACCTTGAGAGAACACATGTGTTTACACATCTCACCAGAGGTGATGGGATCAAACGAAAGTTGGATGTTTGGAGAACAGGAATCAGCTTAACTGGGGTAGTTGTCGGACGAAGAATGAATAAATGCATTATTCAGTCTTTCAATATCGATAGAGGGAATCAAAACCACTTTCTTCTGCCTGCAGCGAAGATTGATTCCACGTCACATAGATATACAGTTCCTCGTCCCAAAAACCGTCTTATTTCACTCTTGATCAGGGACGATAATCGTTGCATTTCGGCCCTCCTGCCACATTTAAATACGCGTTCCTTTTGATGGTGCGTCCAGATTATTGTGCTCTCCGCTAGTTGCCTTGGCTTCCAACACTGCTCGTCCAACGTTCGTTCTGCTTCATTTCTGAAAAGCAAAATTTTAGGTGCAATATCATTCACCAGATATGTATTAATGAAATACATAGATATACGAACGAACTCACGTTATTCCTTCATCGCCTCTCAAGTGGCCAGCTCCGGAAATACCACGTCCCAGCNGCCTTCACTGCTGAGCAGCTTAGGACATTCTCTGGTTCCACAGAGGCACCACACGGTTCGTGAGGAACCTGGCCCTCAGTTCTGACCTGGAGTACTCTCTTTGCAGCTTAGGCAATGACCTCTAGTTCTACAATCCGGTGTAAGAACAAAGAGGCTGCTTATTTCTATACGGGCAACCCCTTGACTATCTTGGAGGCTTCAATCAAGTCGCGCCTGATCCTCCGGCGTGACAGCGAGGAAAGAGTCATGTTCTGTAGACGCTACGAGTAGCTCTTCCCTATCTTTCCAGTGACCATTCTGGTTGCCAATCGTTGTACCCTTTCTAAACACTCCATATATTTGCGATAGAATAGGGTCCAAGCTTGCATGCACTAGTCCAGCGGTGGACGCACCATTGCCTTGTATAGTGGAACAAACAGATCTGCCTTTCTGCAGGTGACTGTTATCCGCGGTCTGAAGAGTACTCCTCTTGCTTTATTAGCAGTCACCGGACGTTGCCTAGTAGGCCTAGTAATAGGTTGTGACACGTGTTCCAAGGTCTTTGACCTGTCATACCTCGTAGCGCTGCACTCCCGGTTGAGTCGACATTAGTAGTCAGTAACTGACACTAGGCAAGATTCAACTGTAAATCACATCGAGTCGACCAGCTGCGGATCGCATCTAAGTCCTAGATGAAGTTCTCACCCGTTATCTTCACATCGTCCGCAAAGATCACTCATGGGTTGTGTGATTCTAGCGCGAGGTCGTTGATAGAAAGAAGGAAAAGTAGGGTTTTGTGACCAACCAAATCCCATTGTATATGTACCCTTCTTCCTGTGCATCTCATTGTTTTATCACACCAAGGCCGCCTCTTTGGTCAGCACCTGTTTGCTTTCACTTTTCGCACGCCCGATCACGCTTCCATATCTCTCTCTTGATCTGCAGGTCGTAACAATACAACCCATCCTCCGACGTACGTCCGCTTGCGACTTATACGTATTAACTCGTACAATACGCAGATGCCTTCTCTCGCATACATCACTTGGTTAACCCTTACCCAGAAGCCATAGACTTACAGGACATAGACACAGCGCAAACCTGCGACACCGATATGGAGCGACTTCGCAAGCCATCCACGCTCCGCATCGAACATCTACCACTTCCGTCTTCGGACAACAAAGTCTATTGCAAAGTCTCCCTAGATCACCCTAGGCCAGTAGTCCCATCGACCTTACGCAAAGAGGTTTTTGAGACACTGCATAATTTGTCACACTCAGGCATCCGCGCCTCGGTGAAACTCATCACTGATCGCTTCGTGTGGCACAACATCAAAAAGGACACGTCAATGGACACGCCAGTGCTTGTTCTGCCAACGAAACAAAATTATTCGTCACACAAAAAGCTTACTAGGCTCTTTCCCCGTCGTCGACGAACGTTTCCATCTCGTCCACGTGGACTTAGTGGGACCCCTGCCGCCATCGAAAGGGTGTATTCATCAGTATTCACCAGTAAAGATCGTTTTACCCGGTGGCCGGTAGCTATATCCTTGTCTTCCGAATCCAGCGAAGCAGCGACACAAGCCTTCGTAGAGGGTTGGATAACTGATTTCGGTTGTCCAGCAGTTGTTACGACCGATCAATGTTCTCATTTCGAGGGTGTTTCCGCAGAACTATTTCAGCACCTAGGCGTTCGCAGCTTCCAGACGACCGCTTACCACCCGGCAGCCAACGGGATGGTCGAGCATTTTCATCGACAACTGAAAAGTGCTCTGACAGCACAGGCGAACCCAGACTGGAAGGAGGCTTTACCCTTAGTCCTCTTAGGTTGCAGATCAGCCTTCAAAGCTGATCTGTAGTCCACACCAGCAGAGTTGACTTTCGGTCGCACATTACGCCTCCCAGAAGAAATGTTGGCACCGACCAAACCAACCGACTTCAACTACGGTGACTATGCAACTCGTTTAGTACATCATATGCGACGGTTGCGTATTCAACCACCCCGCCAGCAAACGCCCCTAGGCTACCTCCCTCCTGGCTTAGCCGGAAGCTCGCATGTCTTCCTCAGGGCAGAGGTTCGTGCACCACTGCAACCTCAATACAGCGGCCCACACAAGGTACTGCGACGCTTGGACCGAGTCTACGTAATAGAACGCTACAGTAAACGTGAGACCGTCACTATTGACCAGCTCAAATCTGCGCACCTGGAAGAAAACCGTCCCTTCCACTAATCGCCTCCCACCCGTTTCGCCATTCGCAACTCACGTCCCAACAAGCCCGAGTTTACTCCATTTCACAAAACTCCGGCTAAAGTAGAATTTATTCTTAATGTTCTCACCCTAAGTATTACCTTCGGGGAACGTTGCTGACCAACACGTATCCAAGACCACTTTGACGGCGCTAACATTGGTGCAGTTGATCACTTCTGCGGGTAACCTGTTCGACAATAGTTTGACTCTGATTGCCAGGAAATTGGCCCGTACTTCAAACTTGGCGTGGTTTTGTTGAAGTTTATAACCATGACCTTTCGGTTTTTGAACATGAGCAATCGTAAACAAGTCATCTAGGTTGATTCCTGATAGACCTCTTACAATTTTAAAAGTCCCTATCAGATCTTCTCTCACTCATCGACGCTCCATCGAAAAGAGATCAAGATCTCTCCACCGCTGCTTTTCCCCTTTTTTCCAGTCATCATTCGGGTAGTTAGGCAATGCACTCTTTCTAAGCGTGTTACATCCCTCCTGTAATACCGTTCCCATGCCTGCACACAATACTCTATATGTGGGTGAACAATCGATTTATACAGTGGGACGAAAACTTCAGGCCGTCTGCATGTCACTGTGGTACACAACCTGAACAGCTGCCCCCAGCCTGATTTGCAGCCTTGCAGCTCTGAGTTGAGAGTTTAAAATCTTGGGACATAGAATCCCTAGATCCTTCATCTGCAGGACCTGCTACATGGAAGCTCCATTTAACGAGTGTACCCCAGCTCCCGTTGCTAAGAGCCGACACTTGCTTAGATTTAATGGTAGGTACCAGTTGACCGACCATCGATGGAATACATCTAAGTCCCTTTGCAGGTTTAACCCTGTCATTTTTACATCATCAACGAACATGAAACACGAATTTTGAAGATCCTGTGCAAGATCATTGATGAATATGAGAAAAAGTAAGGGGCCTAGCACCAAGCCCTGGGGGACCCCACTTCTAACCATCTTCTGGTTAGAAATGTAGTCACCTACCTTGACCTGGAAGGTGCAATTACTCAGAAGGGCTGCAAAACAGTTCCTGACTCCACCTGTTATGCCTAGGATTCGAACTTTGAAGCCAGAAAATTGATGACTGACAGAGTCAGATGCTCCAGGCTCTTACATAGCATTGACGTTAGGCTAGCGGGTCTATAGTTCTCTGCTTTGTGTTTCAGTCCAGCCTTGTGAAATGCTACTACGGTAGCTGTACGCCAGTCCTGGGATAGCATAGCAATTCGCACTGATTCCCTAAAACGTGCAGTCAGCTGCCCGGCCAGCGGCTGCACTATGGCTGAATGGAT